AATTATAACACATCTCTTATTTTTTTCCCATAGGAAGATATAAACCCAGTAGTCAAAACAATAGAAAAACGAAGCAGATGTTGGCAGAACCCAAACTCCGAAACAGTGGTGACGTTGCTTCGCTAAACTATCAAGTCAACGTAGTGAAGCAAGGAAGACGTTACCACTGATTCGGAGTTTGGTCAGAACCAAACCTTATTAAGAAGGGATATAGTTACGATACTGTTGTCAGGTCATTAAAGATTGCATATTTTGGCGTTAATATTGATTCACTTATAGGGTCTTTGCATCGGCACTAAACACATTTATTTAAAAACCAGTTGTTGGCATGACACGGGTTATGTTCTTCTCATATATGTTATGATGGTATGATACTAAACCCCTAACGGGAAGGATTGTGCCTGATATTCATATGATGAAGACATAATCTTTCAATCAGTTTAATTGAAGTCTGGAGCTGGCATGTCAGTTAACTGCTAGTAGTCTGTTGTTATTTATGTATTATTGTCATTTTGTTTATTTTCTTTGGTTACATCTTCTGACATCAGACTCGGACTTCTCTTGAACTGAATTTTAATGTGCGTTTACTTTTCTACACTGGCTAGAGGTATAGGGGGAGAGTTGAGATCTCATAAACATGTTTAACCCCGCCGCATTTTTGCGCCTGTCCCAAGTCAGGAGCCTCTAGCCTTTGTTAGTCTTGTATTATTTTTAATTTTAGTTTCTTGTGTACAATTTGGAGTTTAGTATGGCGTTCATTATCACTGAACTAGTATATATATTTGTTTAGGGGCCAGCTGAAGGACGCCTCCGGGTGCGGGAATTTCTCGCTGCATTGAAGACCTGTTGGTGGCCTTCTGCTGTTGTCTGTTCTGTGGTCGGGTTGTTGTCTCTTTGACACATTCCCCATTTCCATTCTCAATTTTACTTTGAACAAAACATCTAAGACAACAAATCAAACAATCTCTCAGATAAAGAATTGCAATCAGATGCTGCGGATAGGTGAGCTGCTCTTGTGTCAGTTAGTTCTATTTCCCGTTATACACATGCAAATTCTTGTGTTTTAACTTTGCGAAAATATTTAAAAAAATGTCAAAACTATTTACTAAATAGTTTTAAAAGCTTCGTTAAAAGAAAAGATAGGCACTTTATTACAGACATTATATATTCTTTTTGGTGTTTCACCAACGAAAGGTACAGTATCAAAACGAAAAGGCGCAATTAACGTATAGACAAAGAAGTTTACTATTTCAGAAAAAATAAATTAATTGAAATGAAATGGACACATGGGGAGATTATATTCTAGAGGAACTGACGCTTGCATTACGTATACAATTGTTGTATACATGTGTGAAAGCATTTTACGGAATTTTTTGTGATTGTGGTTTGTAAACATACGTTCGTTTATAAAAAGTAACAGCTGGAGTTAAATTATAATTTTGATATTCCCATAAAAATGACTTAACATGCATGCAACGTGTACAATTCATTTTTGAACATAGATTGTGTACAGTGGTTTTATCCCGTATTACTGATTATATAGATATAAGAAGATGTGGTATGAGTGCCAATGAGACAACTCTCCATCCAAGTAAAAATTTATAAAAGTAAACCATTATATGTATATATATTACAAAAAAAACCAAGATGTACACGTAAAATAGTCAACGGTATATAAAACGCTGATAAATCTACACGTAAATGCTACAACTTTCGACTTAGAAATCTTATGTTTGCTTAAATTTTTAATACGAACTCGGATTTAGTATTCAATGTAAATATACGTGTATCGTAATTGACGGAAAAGAATGCAAATAATTAGAAAGCTGATAAAAATTATTGGATTTCCTTTTTTAAATGCATGAATCTTTTTGATAATCGTAATTAACATTTCGAAAGTAGTTATATACAAAATAGTTCTACTAAAACGATATCTAGAGGTAAAAGATAATACATACAATTGGGAAGTGTTTTGTGTTTCCACTTGCTGATAAAGCAGCCAACACCGTTATCGTTGCTTGAGACAAGTACTACATGTATATACTGAGTAACTCATTATATTGGTACCTACATTTGTACACTTCTATTGAAAACACTCTTCAACAAAGACTCAAACTGAGAGCTGGTACTGAACACCACAAACTTCCAACTTTTTATTGGCGTCCTGACCTTCATAACACAAAGAAACGTCACTTGCTTCCTATTTGCAACAAAAACTGCAGATATGTATGGGCGAGCTATTTTCTGTCAACAATTGAGATTATTTTAAATATAACAAATAAATTTAGTTTAACTGATTTTTTTTTACTCACCGAGCATTAAAACTGACCAATATCCTGTTTAAGAACTTGATATTAGAATTATCAAGGTAAGCTTCATGCCAAAAATTATGAATCGTTCCTACTTTTCTTTTTCTATTGTTAATTTTCCTACATTTCTTTGCGTGTGATGTCCGTTGGCTCCATCTTATAAAGTGTCTATTTCTCATGCAGTTGGTTCGATATATGCGTATTGTAGTGACATCTCGGATTTCAATGAAAGGAATATGTTCATTACTAAAGACTTTTACAGAAGGGATATAGATTTAATAAATTCCGAATACAGTTAGTTGTTACGTCGTTTAATCACAAATATGGAGATTTATTGTGGAAGTAAAAAGTTGTATTTTACATGCATCTTTTCACGGTAGAATATTTATAAAGCTAACAAGTTTAAGAATTGTTCTTCAAATCTTTCTAATTGATTTAATAGACTTATTGATAAGGTTATAAATATACTGCTGTTGTTCAATCATATGTCTGGTATTTTTGGGGATAATTACCAATTGGAAGTTAGAAATAAAGATATGTATAATGATTTTTGTTCATGTACTGTTTATGATAATGCTGTTTGAAATCTATGAAATACAACAACCGATATTAAAATGTAGGACAGCTTGATGTCGGTATCTAAGCGCATGTAATTTTGTTTATTGATTTTTATACGACCGCAAAAAAATTTTTGTGGTCGTATATTGGTATGACGTTGGCGTCGTCGTCGTCCGAAGACACATTAGTTTTCGCACTCTAACTTTAGTTTAAGTGAATGGATCTCAATGAAATTTTACCATAAGGTTCAATACCACAAAAGAAAGGTGGGGATTGATTTTGGGGGTTATGGTACCAACAGTTAAGGAATTTGGGGCAAAAAAGGGGCCAAAAATAAGCATTTTTGTAACTTCCAGACATAACTTGTGTGTAAGTGTATGGATCTCTCTGACATTGTACCACAAGGTTCCATATCACAAAGGGAATGCTGGGATTGATTTTGGGGGTAATTGCCTCCAAATTTTAGGAATAAGGGGCCAAAAAGGGGCAAAAAACAAGCATTTTTCTAGTTTCATGACAATAACTTGTGTGTAAGTGTATGGATCTCTCTGACATTGTATTACAAGGTTCCATATCACAAAGGGAATGCTGGGATTGATTTTGGGGGTAATTGCCTCCAAATTTTAGGAATTAGGGACCAAAAAGGGGCAAAAAAAAAGCATTTTTCTAGTTTCATGATAATAACTTGTATGTAAGTGTATGGATCTTTATGAAATTGTACTACAAAGTTCCATATTACAAAGGGAAAACTGGAATTGAGTTTGGGGGTAATTGCCCAAAAAGTTTAGGAATAAGGGGCCAAAAAGGGGCCAAAAATAAGCATTTTTCTAGTTTCCAGACAATAACTTGTGGGCAAGTGAATGGATCTCTCTGAAATTGTACTGCAAGGTACCATACCACAAAGGGAAGGCTGGGATTGAGTTTGGGGGTGATGAATCATAAGGGGGTTCAAAAAATTTGGGGGAGGGATTTTTTTTTCCTTTTTTTTCTTTTAAATTTTCCACTTTAAATTGGTTATTTCTGATTTATATATAAAAGCAAATAATTATGATATGGTTTGAATAGGTAAATTAAAAATTTTTAAGTTCTTAGACCACTTTCATTCTGTGTCAGAAACCTATGCTGTGTCAAATATTTAATTACAATCCAAATTCAGTGCTATATCAAGCTTGAATGTTGTGTCCATACTTGCCCCAACTGTTCAGGGTTCGACCTCTGCGGTCGTATCAAGCTGCGCCCCAGCAGAGCATTTTATTGTTTATGCTTGTGTTTTTGCTATCAATTTAACCATTATTCTAGAGTTGAATACTTTTCTTATACTAACTTTAAATTGTAAGTTTTTTTGTGTACCTTTAAATAGTTCAATGATCGATATTAATACGAGAGAGGATTGAGATCTATGAAAACAAGAAGAACCAAGCCATATATTCATGAGCAAGGAATCCCGTACGTGATTGTCTTATTTCATATTTTAATGTTGTTTGTTATTTAATGAGAATTCGGTGTTGACATCATTTCTTTGAAAATTTCTTTTTAATTCTTTCACAATTTGTATGGACTCGGAACGATCTAAAGCTTGATGAATTATGTAAACACTTGGGTATTGTCGAAGACTGTATTTTGAATTTTAGATGCATTTTGGTTATTTTTGTCGTGTGGTTGTTGTCTCACATACGTATATTCACATCTCTTTTTTTCATATAGGAATATTAAAAATGTTATTTTTTTCTATAAATAAAAGGAGATGTGGGGTCCATATCAGCGAAACAGCAACCCAACTACACAGAAACACAAGCTACATCTTAAGGTCAACATACGGTTTTGAACATTAAACAAGTGACTATGTTGAATAAGCCTGTTAATATAAACTCCTGTGTACTAAAATGGTTGCTGTCTGTAATATTTGTTTGACATAGATTAGGCCGTTGGTTTTCTTGAATTGTTTATATCTTATAGCTGACTATACGGTATGGCTTTTTGCTCATTGTTGAAGTACGGTGACCTATTGTTGCTTACATGCACGTCTTTTGGACTATCATTTGGATAGTTGTCTCATTGGCAATCATGCCACATGTCCTTATTTTTATATTCATACACTGTTTGTCCATTAAAGAAAAAGAAAAAGTTTGGGATGCAAGTATTTATTCTATATACAAAAATTCACCACACCAGGAAAAACGGCAAGATAATGTTTGTTCATCAACGTTGGGCGTCCAATACTATATATCTGTTATTTAATAATAACTTCCTATTAAAAAAGAGAAATATTTGTTATTTAAAAGCTAAAATATATATATAAATGAGCAGTATGTACTAATACTAATAAACAATTTTGATTTTTAAAAAGCGTAAATAAAACAAATACATTTCTCAGAATCATTATACGACAAAAAGTTTGATAATTGAGTCATTTAACGATATCTGCTAATATATGAAATATGAGCATAAATACGAACTCGTCACTTTTTTTTACGCTTGACTGTTCCAACGTCTACCATAATTGGTATTCAGATATCTCAAAAACAATAGATATATATAGCTGGGACTATTATACTAACAGCATATAGTGATAACAAAACAATTGTAATAAAATTACCAATGTAGTTTATTTTTTCCATGAATACTTTTAAGCTTCTTTCATTTTCCTAATGTAAAAGAAGGACAAATGATTTCAAAAGAATACTGAATCATTTTCAAAATTACTTACCACCTTTTCCACCTCCAATGCCAACACCTCCGCCGCCAATTCTAGCATTTAAACTTCCGCCAAGGGTTCCTAAAATAGATATGTATCTGTATTTCTACTTTCTCTTCAGATTGATGTAATTGGTTTTCTTTGTGGACAAAAAACGAAACGGCTATATTTTCTCTTGTGACAAAAGAAATCCTTTACAATCGTATATGGAGTATTGTAATTATATTAAGGAATTGTCACTTATTCTTTATATCTAATGCATTAAAATTGTTCATATAATGACAATACTGCTTTTAATATTTTCTATCATGAGGCAATTATTCCTAATATTTACCCATTATATTAGAGCCGCCGAATCCTCCAGCACCTCCTCCAATGCCACCACCTAAACCGCTAGAAAGTCCACCACTCAATCTACCAGAGAGTCCTCCTGAAAGTCCACCGATACCACCTGCTCCGCCAAGACCTCCTGAACCTCCAACTTGTCCAGCAAATCCACCGCCAAATCTTCCAGCAAATCCGGAGCCGGAACCGAAACCACCTCCGAATCCAGATCCGCCAACAGAACCAGCAAATCCACCACCGAATCGTCCAGCAAATCCAGAGCCGGAACCGAAACCACTGCCGAAACCGCCTAAACCACCTAAACCACCGCCAATTACACCACCTAAACCACCGCCAATTGCACCACCTAACCCTCCAGCTAAGCTACCAGAGAACCCAGCACTTAAACTACTATATGCAACAGCTTGTTGTAGAGCTGATACGTAGTACATCAATCTGAGGTAGGCACTGTAGCTGATGGTAATTGATCCACCTGCACCACCACCACCAATGAGTCCACCTCCCAAGTTTCCACTTAGAGAACCACTGAGAGAACCGGAAATTCCACTACCGCCAAAACCTCCGCCGAGACCACCTCCGAGACCACCACCGATTCCTCCTCCGATACCACCACTGATTCCTCCTCCGATACCACCTCCAAGTCCACCTCCGAGTCCACCGCCCAAACTTCCACCTAGAGATCCTTGTAGTGATCCACTGAGGGATCCGCCTCCTATACCAACACCTGAAATATCAAATTATATGTGTTTTTTTCTATTCTTAATCTATTGAATGAATTTAAATATACAAATATAACCCAAAATCTGTCAGACCTTCCATTAAATATATCTGAATTTTACGACAGCTAAGATGGATCATGCAAGTCGACATTAAAGATTCAATATCAGAAATTCTAGATTCTAAAATAGTAGTATCTTAAAACTTGAACTGAGTGATAACAAATAATAAGGAGCTTATAAGCAATCAGATAAGAATGATTTAAATATAATTGTATTTTACCGATATGTTGGTGGTCTTTCCTAATCGAAAATGTTTAAAGGGAAAAGGAAGATCGAGTATTATTGTTGACGATTTTGAAGTGATTTAAAAAAAAAAAAAATTTTCACTACAAAAAAAGACCGATCACAGCTATGTGAACCGACCTAGAATTGTAAGGTTTTGTTTTAGTGAAAAGAACCATAACAATTGTCTAGGAAATAATAAATAAATTGCAATAACTAAGAACAAAAGCGGAAATGGAAGTTCACGTATCAAACGAAAAAAAAAATTGAAAATAAATTTTAAAAAGTTTATAGGATTCAAATTCAATGAGTTATTGGCAATGAGTCACATGATTCGTGTAAATTCCATAACGTAAAATTGAGAATGGAAATGGGGAATGTGTCAAAGAGACAGCAACCCGACCATAGAGCAGACAACAGCCGAAGGCCACCAATGGGTCTTCAATGCAGCGAGAAACTCCCGCACCCGGAGGCGTCCTTCAGCTGGCCCCTAAACAAATATGTATACTAGTTCAGTGGACCTTTTTTCGTAAATATATTAAGGTTTTATTGGACACGAGTATGGATAAAATGATTCACTCGGAATCCTAGATCTCAAGACACCTTTAAGGTACGTTTTGATAATAGTTATTGACAAATTTGTTATGGTATTTTGGAAAATCTTAATCTTGAGACACCGTAATATATAGATAAAAAAAACCTCATATAACGGCTTTACATTAATATTTGTTGTTGTACTTTATACTCTTTATTTCCTTGAAATAGTATGAACATTTTAGCTTTTTCTGCAATGTCGTTCATGAAAAATTATTAGGTAAGGGAGGTAACTCGTCATATTCCTATTATAACCTACCTCCTTTGCCACCGGCATGAGTACAGGAACTGGCAACTAGCAGAACTACACAAGTAATCAAAGTATTCATCTTGCCTGAATAAAAACAGAACAATAATTATATAAGATGTCATAGTGGGGGAAAGTAATCACAATTATTATTTTTACGTATTGCTGAAGCCCCTCATAGGGGTGTCCAAGTAATCACATAATCACAATTTTTTTGCCAATATAATCGCATAATCATTAATTATTCTTTTAAACAAGATAATCAAATAATCAAAAATACAGTCCTTAATTATCAAATAATCAAATAATCATGAAATATTTGGTCTGGTAATCAAATAATCACTATAAAAACGGCCAAGTAATCACATAATCAAAAACCCCATGAGGAGGCTCATTGCTTAGGGTACTTAATTGAATATTTCTCTTCAATATTATCGAATTATTGAGAATCAAGTTCAAATTACGTTCAAATAAAAAAATCTATTAGCTGAATATTTTTATCGCTGATTTATAAAGATTTCTACTTTATTCGCCTAAGAATCCATATGTTACTTTATGTTATAAAAATACACATTTTTATCAACATTATAAAAAAGATACCTATTTACCGTGTTTCAACAAATAATTTAATTTAATTAGGCAAGGTGAAAATATAAATGCTATTCTTTTCTTGATATTTAACTTTCAACTGTCTATGTAAAAAATGGCCTTAACTGATTGTTAAATCACCGCGAAGTTATTTTGTTTAGAAAATAAGGAAAACGTTATATTGCTATAAAGTAAAACGTTCAAACAAATATTTCTATCATACGTTTAATTCAATAATCACTTCCATCGGATATAATTTGATATCTCCGGAAAAATTGCCTACATTTTTTACTAAAAGTTATGCGAAAGTTTCGTTAGGAGCATCTGTAGTGAACCTTGCTGCGTCGTACATTTTTTGAAAAAATGCAAGAAATTTTCATGAAAATCCTCGGAATATATTCTGAAAAACGTTATTGATTAACACATCTTCAAGTACATTGTACATGTATCATGAATCAGAAGAAAATCCGCACTTATTAGAATTGATTTTTAAGGCAACTTTCTTCAGATACACTTATTAAAAATACTAATAAACAAAATCGTTATTTTACAGCGTACTTATATACCACCAAACTTAAATTATAATCATTAAAAATGTTTTTGGTTAATATATAATAAAGAATTGTATTACTTTTAGTTAAATAAATAAAATCATGATTTTACATCGTATTTCAAGTAAACTATCAATTGTCAAAAATATTCATCAAAAATGTTTTTGATTAAATAATATCTAATTGTATTACCTGAGATTCTTTTAATTCTCTGGGACTGTTGACAGCGGAGTGTGAAAATAATCGGGAGAAAATTCGTATTTATACGAGTGATCGTACGTGCTTTCCGCTGTTTATGCTGACCACAAACCATCACCCGAACACTGACTCCGAGATGTAAATTGTTTGTTTTATTGTTCGTGTTTAACGTGATGTTAAAACAAAATGTTGTATATTTACCTATGTTGACAAGACAATTTTTATTGATAAAATATTAACCAGAATCAGTCTTTGATATTAAACATTTTCCCGCGAATTTTAACATAAGGTCAATAAACTATTACGTAATGTGGTCGTATTAACACAGTCTTTTGCTAGATTTTATGGGCAATAAATTATGCTTTTATTAGTCATGATCAGCAAAGAACTTTTTAATGTAAAAACTCAATAATTTTCTCTTTCTTTTTTTATATATATTTTAACAGTCTTGTTTTTCCGTATGGGATACTGTCTTTTACAAAATTATACTTTACTGATGGCAAATGCATAGCATTCATCTTAATCGCACAATTTTTGAGATTTTTTTTTAATTTATTTTTTATCATTATAATTTCTTTAACGAAATAACCGGTAATGAATGGAATCCGACAAGGATGTCGGGTTGTTGGCTTGATTTAAATACGACTATAGTAGTACCTAACAGAAAATCATATTAGTTTACGATTTGTTTTGATGTTAAATAATTATAATGATTTTTATTATAATAAGAACAAAAGAGGTATTCAAAAAATAAATTGTAACGCAAAATTTATTAAACAAGTAACATTTAAGAAAATATATAGGAAACAAGATTCTCTATGTATACGTTATTTTTCTGAGGTAAGTGAACATTTTTCTTATTTAACCTTTTGAATATGATATAAAGACATTTATTCGATGTCATGTCAGAAAATGTTTTCTGATTTATGAAAGGGAGGCCAAAATATGTTATCGACTTTGAAATAAAAAAAATGTGTCACTTAGCAATGTTTTTTTTCCGCCTTTTGAGATTTTAATATATGTGAATAGTGACAAACAATATGTTTGATTTTTTTTTAAGTATTAAAATATAAACTCAAGCGTCAATATCAACATGTTAGACCACTACATAAATAATAAATAAAAGGATGTTTTAAGTCATGAATATCCATATAATGATAATGAATTCTGTGTAATACTTAAAAACAAAATGTTTGTTAAGTGGACATGAAAATATCTCTTTTTCCGACTGGTCAAAATGTTAATGTTAGCGTAAACTGAATCGAAATTTTTTTTTCATTTAACGTTTTTGTCAATGTTAGTACAACAGCTATTACCTATCAATTTTTAATGAATTTTCCGGTTCAATTTTACTATGACTGTGTTTGTTATTTTTAAAACTTCTGACCTTTCACTAGTTAAATTTGAATTTTCGTGATTTGGGAAACTAATATTTTTTTCTTAAATATAATGATTTTGGTGAAACAAAATACGAGAACTATTCATTAAAATTCTAGAAAGTGTTTAAATTAAAGAGCATCCCAAATGTCCTTGATTAACAGATTCTCCAAGGCTAGTAATTTAATATATTCATTTCATCATTTGTTAAAAGTCACTCTCTTTCAGTCCATAGTACGGTTAACCCGAATAACCCAGTCCCTTCCCGTAACGGAACTCTCCAGCTTGCATACTCGTACCAATCGTAGAGCAGCAGCAACGACTTTTAAAAGTATTCGGGTTATAGTTCGAAAAAAAATAAAATTAATGAGACGCCATTCTTAAAAAAAGACTATCGAGACGATTGCCAAGGACCTAACGTCCAAAATATAACTTAAAGCGCCATTTAAAACTAACGACAAGCAATAAACCAATAAAATAAAAAAATGAGAGAAATACCACCACGTATAAGATTCTTCCTTTAATATCATTTCCATATCCAATACTGAACCTATGTCAATCATACTCTTTGTGAAATAGTATGGTACAATTTTAAAATATGACATATTTTTTTTAAAATAAATCATATAATATAAAACAACTGAGAGATTTTTCCTTTTCATGATGAGAAATATTTGTTCATATAGGCGTAGAATGCATTGAAAAGCTTTTAAACACACACAAAACACTTAAAATAGGATCAAACACGTAATTCGCTATGTGGGACATGACTTGAGCTTTGACCTTATGACCTTTGTCAAGGTCATTTGTCCTCGATGTCATCACAAAAAGATCCCATGGTTTTAGGACCTTTGGTTTAAGAGTAATAGCTAGTTTTGTCCTTTCGGAAAGCGTTAACGGGAGTTATGCTCCTTACGGAAAGGTCAAATATCTTCGGTGAAATGTAACAAAGTTTCGCCTTAATGACCCAAACTTATTTTCACTATTCACGATTTCTGTAAGTATACTGGTAACTGCGATATCCCATAACAAGGTATTAGGTCAAAGGTTAAGGTCAACTTAAAAACTTTAAAACACACATAAAACCCTTAAAATATGGTAAAAACACATAATTCGCTATCTGGGACATGATCTATGACCTTATGATATTTGTCAAGGTCATTGGTCTTCGATGTCATTACAAAAGACCCCATGGGTCTAGGACCTTTGGTTAAAGAGTTGAAGCTAATTTGGTCTTTTCGTACATCGTTAACGGGGGTTATGCCCCTTCCGGAAAGGTCAAATCTCTTCAGTCAAAATGTAACAAAGTTCCGCCTTAATGACCCAAACAGTTTCCACTATTCAAGACTTCTGTAAGTATAATGATTTCTGAGATTATCCCATAACAAGATGTAAGATCAAAGGTCAAGTTCAACCTAAAAATTTGACCTTGGGGCATTTTCAAAATAACTCTGGACCGACAAAATATTACGACTCACAAGGTGAGTTCCTGGTAGGTATTTGTGACACCGATACAAATTGTGAACCTGAAAGCGACATGGCTTACTGTTACGGAGGGAATGATGAGAACAAATTCAATTTCTAGACCTGTCAGTAACAATAAATGACTAAGAACAATCTTTTATTGTATCTTTACTAAAAGGCAGGGTAGAACGTTTTTATTAGAATCAACAAGATTGATATCATATTTAATATATAAAAATAAGGAGATGTAGTATGATTGCCAATGAGACAACTATCCACCAAAGTTCAAATGAAGTGGGTGTAAGCAATTATAGGCAACCGTACGGCCTTCAACAATGAGAAAAACCCATACCGTATAGTCGGTTAATTCTAGTAATTGAGAAAACTAACGGCATAATTAATAACAAAACAATTTACAAAAAACAAATATGACAGACAAGAACCAACAACAACCACTGAACTGTAGGCTCCTGACTAAGGACAGACACATAAAGAATGAGGCGGGGTTAAACATGTTTGTCAGCGCTCTACCCCCACCTAAACTGGGGTTATTGGTTTACAGCACACCGTAAGAACAAACTATAAAAATAAGTTGAAAAGGGCTTAACTCTACAGATTGATACAAAGCAGAAAAAAAAACATCTAATAAAAAAACAGACTGACGAATATGCTCATTTTTATATTGACATTTTTTCTATTTGTCCATGTTGACTGTGTGCTATTTCAATCAGAGGTCATAACTCAACATGGGTACATGTAAGAGAGAGTCGAAAAATACCAAGGGGTATTCAAACTTACAAGTCGACAACAAATTGGCCATGACATGGCAAAAAAAAAGAAAAACGACCAAAAGACAAACACCAGTATACTAGACACAACATAGAAATCTTAAGACTGAGCGACATGAACCCTATCAAAAACCGGGGGTGATATCATGTGCCCCGGAAGGGTAAGCAGATCCTCCTCCACATGTAGCAACCGACGTTTCGCTCGTGTAAGTACATGTAATTTATACGCAACATCTCTCTTTACCCCGAGAAAACATTCAACCTCATATACATGTATAAAAAGAAACTGGCAATGACATGACAAAGAAAAAAAAATAAAGACGACGAAAAGATAAACAAGTTTACAAAACACAACATAGAAAAGTAAAGACTGGGCAACACGAAACCCACCAAAAACTGGGGGAATCTCAGGTGCTCCGGAAGGTTAAGCAGAGTATGTTTCATTAGTGGCACCCGTCGTGATGTTACAACATACTTTACTTATTGATAAATTGTCTGTCGATACTTTTAGAATAAATAAAAAAAATAGGGTTCCAACTCCATCATGGATTTGGCTGGTCTTGTTGGTACCTTTTGGTCATAAAGCTGCTCACAGAAGTTGAACAGGACACTTTGTCAGAATGGGTCAAAACAATCGGTTAATTCTAGTAATTGAGAAAACTAACGGCATAATTAATAACAAAACAATTTACAAAAAACAAATATGACAGACAAGAACCAACAACAACCACTGAACTGTAGGCTCCTGACTAAGGACAGACACATAAAGAATGAGGCGGGGTTAAACATGTTTGTCAGCGCTCTACCCCCACCTAAACTGGGGCAGTGGTTTACAGCACACCGTAAGAACAAACTATAAAAATAAGTTGAAAAGGGCTTAACTCTACAGATTGATACAAAGCAGAAAAAAAAACATCTAATAAAAAAACAGACTGACGAATATGCTCATTTTTATATTGACATTTTTTCTATTTGTCCATGTTGACTGTGTGCTATTTCAATCAGAGGTCATAACTCAACATGGGTACATGTAAGAGAGAGTCGAAAAATACCAAGGGGTATTCAAACTTACAAGTCGACAACAAATTGGCCATGACATGGCAAAAAAAAAGAAAAACGACCAAAAGACAAACACCAGTATACTAGACACAACATAGAAATCTTAAGACTGAGCGACATGAACCCTATCAAAAACCGGGGGTGATATCATGTGCCCCGGAAGGGTAAGCAGATCCTCCTCCACATGTAGCAACCGACGTTTCGCTCGTGTAAGTACATGTAATTTATACGCAACATCTCTCTTTACCCCGAGAAAACATTCAACCTCATATACATGTATAAAAAGAAACTGGCAATGACATGACAAAGAAAAAAAAATAAAGACGACGAAA